AGTAAATCCCCCCCCCCCAAGCAGTCAGTCAGTCAGTCAGTCAGTCAGTCACCCACCTTTTTTCCCGGAACTAGCTCCAGCTCGGGATGTTGGGCGAGGAACTCTCGCACATCCTCCGGTAGCGCCTCCATGCTGTCAACACGTGTTCCTCGTCCGCAAGAGGAAGAAACACATAGGGCTACGCCAAAATGGCGGGTGCAAATCTACTTGTCTCCATGGTGACGGGTGCACGTGACCCGGAAGTGCTGGATGGAAGACAAGAATGGCTGCGGTGTTGTGTTTACTGGGTCGGCGGGGGGTAAGAGTCATGGCTGGGTGTCAGGGGGAACACGGGAATAACTTATTTCCCACGCAACCTTGATTAGATTGGTGGACGGTCTTTGCATATCAGGACATCACCTGAGCGAACATTAGGGGTCAACAGAGCATGAATTGAGGGGACAGTGGGATAGGAAGTGAAGAAAACCCAGAGGTCAGCTAAACGGGAAGTGTGTGATTTTCCCCAGTGGGGACACAACAGTAATTGGCATACTTGGCTATGGCATTTTTATCCTTATTAGTAATCTGACTGGGAGCCCAAATGTGAGCTACACAGAGATGACAGCTCAGTTATAGTGCCCATGAAATCCTTGTCCGTATTGTGGCCACCATGTTTATATAACTGTTCTTTCATCTCACTTTGCATCTATATTTTTTCCATCAGAACAGCGATTCTCAGGTCCTCAATACTGTGGTCATGGCTGCGGAAATGCTCTGCCATGGGAAGGTTGATCCTGCTGGTCATAATGTCAGACTGATGGCAGTTCTTGCCCTGTTTATTGCAGATAGAGACTAGGACTGCAACCAACTAATCAAAAATCAGAACAGTTGTCAACTATTCTCAATTTTGATTAGTTGGTTGGATCCCCTACCTCCCTCCTCCACGCCGGGAGGAGGTCACAGCAAGCAGTGGGCCGGTGAAATAGCCAGTCTGCTATTAGCTATTGCAATGTGAAATGGCCGATAGCAGGCTGGCTATTGCACCCGCCCACTATCTGCTGTATTTACATTCAGCTGTCGTCTGCGGAATCTTGCCACTGGCAGCTGTCATTCCCTGGCTGAAGCTATTCAAGCGCCATGTGCTTACAATACAATTATAAAAGGTGGGGAAAAAGTCATTTTCAGTTTCGGCCTGACCAATTCTGCTGCGGAAGGTGCATTGCAGGCAATAAATACAGAAGAGCATCCAGAGCCCGTGGTGGAAAAACTCTCTGGCCAAGCGAGGTCAGGTGTGGACTGATCTGTTCCTCTCAGATCGGACAGTTAGGAGTGTTTAGCTAAAGTCATAAGTGCACAATAATAAAACGCTGACAAGGCTCCATCTTCCCGTATGGGGGTTCTAGTTATTTCTCCTCCAGATGCTGGCAGAATGCTGCCATCTTTTCTGCATCATCTCTCGGTCCGATCCATAACACGTTTCTCATGTCTGTTTATAATTCTGATCACTGATCTTTCTTCCAGGTCCTTAGCTCAGCACTGTCTGTATCTCGGGTGGTTACCCCCCGTGTCTGGCTCGGGTCCAGTCAGCTCTGTCTGAAAAGGGGTAAGTGACATATGCTTTGTCTATATGGGCAACGCAGCCGCAATGTCTGACATATTGGAACAATGGGCACCCAAAGAGTGACAAAAACTGTTACTCCATCTTAGTACAGGATGCATGTTAGACCTGGTTATTCCATTCCTCATCCTGCACCATAAAGGAAATATTTATGGAGTCGGTGTGTGTATCTATTTTCATTTATAATTGCTTGTGAAATGCAGAGAAGAGAAGGAATACATTTTTGAAACTAACGGACAGGAGATGTTGTGTATAGGGTTAGTCTAGTGGGGTAGGAGTAGGATAATGACATAAAAAAAAGTACATATTATTAAAGTGACATTAAAGGATCATTTTTTCCCCTCCCCCCCATGTTAATTAAAGCAATTACCTTAAATGATGTTTCTTAATCCGATCTTCTTCTTCTTTCCTATCCTTTTCAGCCTTCTCTCCAGCGCTGCTGCGGGTCTCCGATCCAGCGCTGACTCCTCTGTCCTTGCTGGCACTTCCTGTCCCACGGTGTCTGCATGCGGGTGAATGCGTCTATAGACTTACCTTGCGTCTCCTCGTCTCCCGGCCGAAAATCCGAACTGCGCATGCGTCCGCCCCAAAATGCTTTGTGGCCACCCTGAGTAGTTTCGGATTCTCGGACGGGAGCGTGCGAAAAGACTGGTAAGTTTTAGAAACCTTTTAAGGGAAGCAGGAAGAAAGACCAGACGGAGTAAGGAAAGTGGGGAAGTATAAGAAAGGTGGGGAAGGGGGGAGCCTCATGCCGGGCCAGCTAGACAGAACGTCTAAGTGTAAATACCCGACAATAAGATTTTCAGGCTTGTTTTCATCTCTCCTAAAGTCTTCCATTGGTTCAGCCAACAGGGATTTATATTCACCTAAAAGATTACCAGCAGGAGGTCGGGATTCCATTACAGAGAGTTTGTTAGACCTCATTCTGAATACCGTATCCAGTTCTGGAGACCTCACTTACAAAAAGAAAGTGACAAGATGGAACAAGTCCAAAAGGTCAGGCAACACAACTGGTGAAAGGTCTGAGGGAGAAAGCATCATCATAATGAGAGACTAGAGTAACTTAATGTTTACAGCTTGGAAGAAGAAAGGAAAGGGGGAGGGGAACATGATTGAAACCTTTTAATAAATGGAAGGACAGGTGCTGTGTGTAACTGCATGCAGCTGCCTGTACCTCTATGGGAGGATGCGGCTGCACATGCTTACAAGCTGACCCAAGCCTACACATCCATGCAGATCCGGGTGCCTGCACTTGCACCTAGACCAGGGGTAGGCAACCTTGGCTCTCCAGCTGTGCTGAAACTACAAATCCCACAAGGCATTGCAAGCCACAGGCATGACTCCAAGAAGCAGAAGCATGATGGGATTTGTAGTTTCAGGACAGCTGGAGAGCCAAGGTTGCCTACCCCTGACCTAGACAGTGTACATCCAAGTGCAGGCACTCGGATCAGCACGGATGTACAGGCTGGGGTTGGCGTGTAACTGCGTGCAGCACCTGCCCCTTCCAGGAGCAGGTCTGTGCACTGGCCTGCATGCCACACAGGTAGCAGAGGCTTGTACCAGGCTTCCAGAGGTAGTGAGTCACTTAGAGACAAAAAGGTTCAAAAACAAAAATATATTCATAGGCCGGACTCGATTGACGTGTTCTTTTTCTGCAATCATCAATAATACCATGGATACTGAGGTCTGGTCTTCTTGTCTTTAAAATTGATGGTTTTGGAAAACGACATCTGTAGCATGGGTGCTTGTTTTTGTTTTCAGACCACAAGGGTGCAGGCTGTTACTTTAACCACTTGCTGACCGTGGTGTTAAACCCCCTTCCTGTCCCGGCCATTTTTCAGTATTCAGCGCTGCGGTACTTTGACTGACATTTATTCCGTCATGCAGCGCTGTACTGAAATGAATTTTATACCATTTTTTGGGGACAGATAGAGCTTTCTTTTGGTGGTATTTAATCTCCACTACAGGTTTTTTTTTTTTACTGTATAATAAAAAAAGTACCAAAAATTTTGAAAAAAAACCTGTTCTCCCTACGTCATGTTATAAAACATTTATTATTACCCACTTTTTTGGTAAAATATAAAAGTCAGGGTCACGTAGAGTAAATAGACACCAAACATGTCAAGCTTTAAAATTGCGCGCACCCGTTAAATCGCAAAAAACTACCATGCCCAAAATTGACCATAGCCGAGGCTTTAAAAGCTTTTACCGCACATCAGTTTAGTGTTATCAGTGACTAATGGCCATAGAATTATTGCTCTCATTCCGACGTTCGCGGCGATATGTAACGTGCGGCGCAATGGATGTAATCGGCGTGGGGGCGGGGGACTTTAATTTTTTTTTTATTGCTTTGATATGTTATTTTTTATTTTTATTTTTGTTTTTTTGTAACAAAATTTGTAACAATGTAACAAACCTTTTTTTTCCCCACTGAACTTTATTGCTATCACATAGGGAGCAAGCAAGCTCTACAGACGCCCGAACGCTTGTATGTAAACATCCATCAATGGCTGTTTACATTCAGAGCGGAACGGGATAGGACGTCTAAAGACGCCCACCCGCCCTCAAGAAGCTGCTGTCCGGCCGTTTAATTATAACGGCCGGACAGCAGGTAGTTAAAGAAGATCTCAAGGTATTTGAAAAGTTAACCCTCACAGTGGGGCTATCTGGCACTGTGAGGGTTAACTGTTTTTTGTTTTTTTTGTTTTTTTTAACTCTGGGGTCAATAATACAGAAGTAATACTCACCTTATCCTCGGTCCTGCAGCAGTGACCCATCACCTATCTCCCCTTCCACTCCGACTGTGGTATGTCCCTCTGCATCTTCACATCTAATACACTCTATTAGATGTGATGCTGTCACAGGTCCTTAGACTGCCGAAGCCCAAGGGAGAAGGGGCTGCAGGGACTGTTCTAGCAGCCAGGCAGGACCAAGGATCAGTTGAGTATATATTCTCTATTTTCACTCTCTAGACAAAACAAGCAGTTAACCCCTTGCAGTGCAGGCATAGCCCCACTGCAACAGTTAACGTTAACAGATTCCTGCAGTTTCTCTTTAACTTTTCTAGGGAATTAAATGCTATATGTTATAGTCCTTAAACTGTTGAGAGAGGTTTCTCATCTGGTTCCAAAAGCTCTCAGTGCAGAACTTTACTTAAAAAGAAAAATAGTAAGGGATAGTTCTTCTTAGCAGAAGAGACTTTGCATGTCTCCTTGCAATTTCTTTGTTCAGGTGTACACTACTTGTGACGCATGAGCAATGCAGTGTACACTACCAGCCCATTCTTAGCCAAGAATGGTGGTGGGTGCCGGGATAAGTGTACATGTGCAGGAGTTACGTCATCAATGGCTGAAGAGGCCCAACAGGAATCTGGAAGAAGGTGGAGGCAGCTTACAGGGTGACAAAGCACAGCTGTGATCTTTGAGCATCAGAGGAGGTACAACAATAAGGTGACTCTGCCATAATGTACAAGTATGCTGTGTACATTATGGAAAGAGCAGTAAACAGATCCCGCATGTTGTGATATAAGGACCTCTTCTCGGCTTCAGATCTACAACAATGGTTTGAAGTAGTCAGATGTATGCACTGAAGTAACCAGGGTGTTCTATACAACCTACTTAAGATGTTAAATCCTGATTTCCTGTATCCTATACATTCTGTATTCCTGCCCATTTTTTATGTATAAGTAATATTCAGGTTAAGTCTCCTTACCCTTCTTCCCATTAAAGATGGGTATTGTCCCTGTGGAGGATGGATCGGTACATACAGTATATAGGAATAGTAATGGGGCAAAGTGCCTTCTTCTTGCAGGTGGTTTCAAACCCTATAAGAAGTTAGACAGAGCAGGTTGGGGGGAATGAGGTGCAATGTAGAAAATGTGTGAGTTGTAGCGTGTGGTGTAAAGATTTAATGTTGGTGCCTGACGACATATTTTCTATACCATCCTTTCCTATTTTCTCCAATCCTCCTGCAATGTGAGGGGATGAGCCTTGCTTTCATATGTGAAGAAACGTTGGATCTTCGGTATCTGGTTGTTGATGATTGCCAGAAGGCAATATGTATTATAACGGAGATAGCTTTTTGGTTTTCTGTGTAGTTTCCTCCATGGGATATTACCATCCTACCAGCTGAAGATTTTCAGCTTGTTGAGGGTATGTACACATCCTTCCAGGGAATGGAGGGACAAAGCCATACATATCACTAGAGCTGCAGCTAACGATTATTTTCAAAATCGATTAGTTAGCCGATTATTACGTTCGATTAATCGGTTAATCGGATAAACAATAAAATACATTTTTAAAAATGGCTCCAATGATTGGCGAGTGTGAGGTGGGGAGGAGGTGCGACGTGCAGCATGTGGGAAGCCATGAACAGGGCCAACTGATCGGAAGCCGATTAATCGATTATTGAAAAAGTTGACAACTTTTTCAATAATCGATTATAATCGATTATGTCGATTAGTTGTTGCAGCCCTACATATCACATCAGTTTTGTAATGTCTTATGCAATGTCCTTGTGTTTCCTCTAGGTCCCCAGTCCCAATCGCACAGACTTTGCACTTCTTCTGCAGCCGCTGAATCCAGCGAAGACCAGTTCTTGAAATGGTTTCTGCTGCTCATACCTGTTGCCACCTTTAGCTTGGGCACCTGGCAGGTAAAGTGCCTGACTTCACAGAAACACCTACCCCAGCCATCAATACAACCTTAATACACAAATACTTCCAACAAGAGCCCATCCCTTATCCCATCCCTTTTCCCAGTACACCAGCAGCACCAGACCCTCCTTCCC